TGATGATCAAAGCTGAATTTTCATTATAATATGCTGATTTGATGCTCATTTCCGATTATTATCTATGTTGAAAACCGTTGTGCTGCTTCATATGTTTGTGGAAACGTGATGCATTTTTCAGGATTCTTTGATCAAAGTTCAAAAGAATGAAAAATCTTTTGTAACACTATAAATGTATTTATTGTCACTATTAATCAATTTAATGTGTCCTAGCTAAAAAAAATAATCTTACATTCACAAATAATTTTTCAGTGCAGATGTAAAAAAATATATCTAAGTAAAAATATACTAAAATACCAAACACTGACATTATACACATTAAACACATTTTTCAATGACAATATAACGATCTGGGTTGCTAATTTAAAAATGAGCAAATAATTGCCCAAAATGCAAATAAAAACATGCCTTGACATTTGCTAGAAACCTAAGAACAGATTTAACCCAGTGAAAAATGTTACATAATCTTTGCTAACACTAAGTTATAAAAACATTCCGTTTGATCCTTTTGCAAACATCATGGGAACGTTACTTTTGAATGTTCTCTGAATTTTTGCAGTAACATTTAAAAAACATGTGATTTAGGGATTTATGCATAGACGGTAAAAGAAATGGACAGAGCGATCTCATTGGAACTCCATTGAGACGATTGAAGCCCGTTTTTGGCGATTTTTTTTTTTAAGCACTTCTGTCCCTGACGCGCAGACTCAAACAGAGCTTGACTACGTAGATGTGTCGAGAGCAAACCGTCTGTCTCCTAGTGCTGTGGCATGAGAAACCTGAATCATTCCCTTCCGAAACATAAACGGTTAGTTCCAATCCTTGATTCTGATTGGTCTATAGCTGTGCTTTATTCATAATAAAACACGGCTATAATCGCTTCACCCAACGGTTCTATTTATCACTGCGCAACACCCTTAGCAACCACACGTATCTAAGGAAACACTGCAGAGCCCCAACTAGCTAAAGACAAGCGCGTCGGATACCAGGCAGCACATATCCGATAACCAACACCAGCACAGTGGAAACGATTGAAATCAGACAAATATTTAATGCATGCACAATATGAGAGATGTTCAAATAAATTTAAACAACAATGAAAAAATTTATCTCTCGTTAGGCAGCATAGCAACTAAATTAATAACATTAATAAAATATGTAAAATAGGCTGCCTATTAAAATATGTGCCCTTGTGTTTTTATTAATGTAAGGTTTATTTTTAAGTGCAGAGAGAAATTAACGGAATAACGGAAAATGAACGTCTCATGCTGAGAGATAAGCTATTTTTGTGTGAGGAAATATTACATTCTGTGTTGTAAAAAATAAATGAGACAAACACAACATAGGAACCGTTCTCAAACTTTCTCCGTTCTCAAGGAACCGTTCTCAAGCTTTTTTGCATATTACACGTTGAAACGTTGTTGCTGTTCACCTTTTCAGGGACTATTTTTTTCTAGCGGAAGGAAGGCTTTTAGCGATTTTTACTTCATGAAAGTTGCATGAATACATTTTTTTAACTTTAATATTTTTATTGTGTGGTAACTGTTTTATAAAAGCAATAAGGTAGTCGAGGCAAGCGCTGTATCGTGAATAAGTCGCGGCTGAAGGGGTCGCCAACGAGCCGTCACTTATTCACGATAAATCGCAGCCTCTCGAAACTTATTGCTTAATTAAAACATTAAGTTCCAAAACATTAAAATAAAAGTTCCATGTACGATTTATAAATAACGTTTTTGTGCTATTATTAAAGACAGGTTACTTTGAAAGAACATTCTACTTTAGTGTAACTTTGCCAGAAAGTTCTGAGAAGACTTTCCCTGTTTGCTGGGAATCTGTCATAGAAGATATATAGCGATGTCCTCAGAAAACATGATCAAACTTTGGAAGGTAAAAGTAAATAGTTTGACCCTGTTAAAGGTTGCAACTCGATATCCATAGGAAACGTCTGATAAATGTAATATGAAATTGAAAAGTATAAGTGAAATCACTTATCACATTCCCATGGAGTGACCCGGGATCGAGAGCTTTGCTCAGGGCACAATGCTGACTGATAGGTTGTGTGCGTCTCAGATGCCACATCAGGCGTCTCCATGCACAAATATAGACCGCAGCCTCTGCAATATTTCATTATTTGCCAACCAGATCTGCTGATTTGGTAACGTGTGACCAGGCGCTTTTATAACATAACCTGAATAACATCGCAATTGCTGTAGTGAGAGATGGAGGTTTGGCAACAGCCATGAGAGGAATTGTGCTAAGACAAGAGCTTAACCTCCTAATGTGCTAAATCCAGAATAGAGTACACTGTGTTGAGGATTGCCTCAAACACAGACACACACACACACACACTCACTCACTCACATACACATGTTTGGTTCACTATCTTTGTGAGGACTCTCCATAGACGTAATGGTTTTTATACTGTACAGACTGTAACCCTACCCCTAAACCTGCCCATCACACACACACACACACACACACACACACACACACTAACCCGACCCCTAAACCTGCCCATCACAGGAAACATTCTGCATTTTTACATTTAAAAAAATAATTCTGTATGATTTATTAGCGTGTTTACCCATGGGGACTGTGGTGAGATCTGGTACTACCTCAGCCCTGAAGAGCGCCTGGTATCGAAGTGGCCAGGTGCCTTTTGCTGTCAGGTCAGAATTTCTGGATAAACGTTCCTTATAGCTCATTTAACCCATACCAGTAAATCTAGGTGTATCCCTACACTCATGTGAACCAATACATTATTACTAGCAACAACCATCAATTCAATTCATACTCACCCTCCGTGGAGATGCTTCCGTGGAGTCCTGGTGACCTCTTGCCCTCGCAAGGGTAGCTTTAATGCTCTTACTATTGCTTATAGAACTGGTATTGTGACCCGAGGCAAAGAACTATTCAACTTTTATCTTTATAAAATGAAAATTTATTTATACAAACGATAATAACACTGGTTACACAATGATTGTTAATAGTAGCAACAAAAGAAAAGGTTACAGATTATAATACCTCAGTTTCTCCCTACTTAACAGGGCAGTCCTGTATAAGTGGTTCAGTCACAAAGCTTTTCTTAACATACACAGTTCAAGTATCAAATGAATAACTAACCTTGTCCTTCTATGAGCAGGTTAAGTTAACATCATACAGCTAAGCAGTTAAAGCAATATATGTTCCAGCAAGCTGGACTGAAGAATGATTACCTTCAGGGATGCACGCAAAAATCTTCTAGCAAGATGCAACAACTAACACTGAGAAAGCAGCCTTATTTATACTGGCTGTGTGACACAATCTCTCACACCATCTGGGTTTTTCCATACACTTGCAACACAATAGTAACGGATACACTTGCAACACAATAGTCATGCGACTCTTAGTTCCTCCTTTAAGATTCGCTGAGCAGGCATTGCGTGTGCATTCTTTCTCCCCTTCCGAGTCTTGGGTTCTCTGGTCCTTCTTGAATGTGTACATGCATATAAATTCATATGTGTTTTTGTAAGTTCATTAAAATCAAAACTCTGCGGTACACCCCCTCTTGAAGTCACAAAAACACGCTTAATAAAATCCCTCGGATAAATGACATCAAGTTCATCAAGTTTAACCTTATAAACATAGACAGTGGGCACCACAAAATCCAAACAACACTCATAAAACCTATATCTTAACTCAGACTCTCTTTGGAAGAAGCCAATTATCAGCCTTCCGTACTGTGCCAACAGACAGCCCATCGTTTGTCGATACCAACGCCGGTCCACCGGCATCCACCGGAATGAGTCCTTTACTCTTGGGGCCTGGTCCATTGTCACCAGATCTGCCAGGGCCAAGGCCAGTTCGCTTCCCCTGGCTGCTATGCCCTCGTTCAGCACTCTTGGTTCCCATCGAACCTGTGTCAGACGCTCCAGGCAGATCTATATTGGGATCAAGGACAAGCACACAGACAATTCGGCCATTAATACGCGCCTGTCTTGTGCAAAAGCCCAGGACTTCCTTGTGTCTTCTTGGATAGGTCTGAATGTTAACACAGCAGGTATTCTGAAATATTTGCTCCCCCAGACTAAACAAACGTTCAAATCCATCATCTAATTCGATGACTTTCCATTTCATGTCAAGGAAAAATCTCATTTCCCCATATGTAAAATTATGAGTGTTGCCCGGACCTCCATTCCGCGTCCCATGCCTGTCAAAGCAAATGCGAGACATTTGTCTCATGCTAATACCCAGTTTCATCACACATACTGGACAATAAACTCTAACGTCCTTACACTCTTGTTTATATGCTTCAATTCTCATACTATAACTCTTGAACACATCAAAACATTCTTCACAAATTAAAAAATGCCCAAGTTGCGTCGCCCTCCTCCAGTCAGCAGGGACCTATAGTATGATAACATACAGTAAATAAACCATGTCATGAATGAGGTAGCTCAAACAAAAATACCAACATTATATAAAAAACAAAAACAAAAAACAAAATTCGTTCCTTCAACCCCAAATAAACCAAACGAACTTTCCAAGTGTTTTTCTTTTTTCTTTGTCTTCTCAACAATGACCCCGTCAATCAAACTGTCATTGGTCAGTTGCTGCCCCCCAGGGGGCCCTTCCTGAACGCAGCAACCCCATGACTTGACTGGTCACCATAAATTAAAATCTCCAAATACATCACCCTATTCATACATGAAATGATGTAGTTCAAGAGAAAATGAAAACATTGTTAACAAAACAAAATTGCTTTTCATTTCGAAAGAAACAAACTAAATCCAGACCTTTTTAGAAAACAATTTGTAAACTCAACAAATTGGCGAACTTAACATGGTCCGTTAGTGACAATAATCGGGGTTTTTTTTTTTTTCTTCCCGTCACTGTTCTATTGATCAATATATTTCCAAAATTATTGAAATAAAAATCAACATGAAAACAATTTGTGACAAAAACAAAACAAACAAAACAAAAGAATAACAACCAGCAAGTGCTCTTTTTTTTTTTTTTTCTTTTTTTTTTTTTTTTTTTTTTTTTTCGGCACTGTCAAAGTTATTCAGGTTCGTTTTTTCTTCTTTTTTTTTTCATCCACAAATAATGCAATCAGTTCGACAATTGTCAATCATCTTCCACATATAGCTACAATCATTAATGCCAACCAGAATGGCTAACATGAATAGCTTCGGCTCGTTCACTTGTCTTGAACTGCCAGCAATAAGTAAAACCAAAAAATAAAGAACAGCCAATTTTTTCACTAAAGGCTTTAAAACGGTATTTCTTCTATAGCTTAAGATAATCAAAAATACGTATGTGATGAGCGCAAGCCCCACACCTACGTATTTGACCCAAATTAATTCAACGTAGCATTTTGTGAAATTGTACATAGTTATAGCTATGGAAAAAAACATAACTGCAACAATTCCCTTTTTTCCAAACAATTTAACATATCTCGCACTTCTCAGCAGCTGAGACACTAGAATTAGCACTAATGAAATATCGTCCAAAAAGTTATAAAGGCCAAGGCTCAAAAACATCAATACTACTTGCTCCGGCATTCTTTGACTTAATATTCCGGATATCCAATATACAATCAACCATAAATTTATGGAAACTATACTCACAATTTCTTTTGGTCTGTCAATGCAATGCCTTGTAGTATTGCTGTAATTGCCTGCCATTTAGTCTACTGCTGCTGTTGCGAATAGAAGAAAGTTAGAGAGAGTGATGATAGCCTCCTTGTCCGCCACCAACTGAGTGATCCGTAACCTTGTCCGCTCGTTTAGACACTTCGCAATCCCTGTCACTGCGAGGCCTGCACTTCCGTCCCCTATTTGGTCATAAGAGGAACTAGAGCCTCTGTGTCCTCTGTCGAGTCAGGCAATTTCGACAGTTTCCTGCAGACCGGCCCCAATTTCGAAAGTTTAACGAACAGGACCACCATGACTATTATTCCTATAACAATAGCCAGGCAGATTATGGCAATCTTTACGTGAAACCAAGATTGCACTATTAGGTCCCACACGGAGACAGCGAGTTCTTTAATGTTATCCTACCACCCATAGAATAGCCTTCTTCTGCACTTTCCAATATACAGTAAAAATATCGCCCCTATTTGGCTTAATCAATTGAGATTCGAAGTCCCAAAAAAAACAAATACCCCGGCCCCATGGACAGGCCCCCAAGGTAGACATCCACCGGGTCAAAAAAGCCACGTAATTCCTCGGCGCTATTTAACAGAGCGGAAAAAGCGCATTTTTTCATTACCTGATTTCGCGCAATCATCATCAAAGGAGCTGCACCGGTTATCGAGCTTATATCAACCGCTCCACTTATACTGCCAACCCGATCTGCGCCAATCACCTTGAAATTCTTGAAAGTACAAAAAACATGTTCATCTTCATGCATCCACGTAATGTTAGGACTAAACCTATTGCCTGGGGTTTTAATTTTCCATGAATTAAACATTTCCGTGTCACAACATTGCTCTTTCGCCGGTATCCACAAATACTTAACCTCATCCCAATGCCTGTACACAAATTTTCCCAAACCCATGTTCCAGACATTTGACCGTTTCCTTACCTCATCACGGTCATGGTCCTCAAGCCTCAGACTATGTCTCGCGAATGAGCCACTGACTTAGATATCGAATTTGGGTGAGGCCATCAGAATTTTTATAGTCAGTATTCGTGACACCTCGCCTTTCCGATGGTTTCAACATCGGCAAATAATATTTACTACTCCAAAAACCATGCGCTAAAGTTCTGGTTTGCAACCCTAAGGTTCTATTCCCTCTTGCCCACACAATCGGGAATATACTCTTATTAACCGGATGATTATGGAATGACCTCCAGCTTACAGTTCGCGTTGTCGTCTTATCCAGTCCCATTACCACTGGAAAAACATCCCACACCCTATACATAAGGTTAGAAAGTCCAATCCATCTCAAAGTCCCCTTGTTAACAGCATCACTATGGTTTGCCCAAATACCTTGATTTCTATGTGTACTCCTATGAACTCCATCCCAGCCCATACAGTACAGGGTAAGCGCAGACCTGTATTACGGATTGGTCACATAACTCAAGATATAATACATAATGCCCGAGTAATTCGCCAGTTCTATCGACAAACCTGGTCTGGGCGCATACTCTAGGGTCAGAGGATGCAACCTTTTTGCCCCTACCCCATTCGCCCACAAGGCGGCGTTGATCGTCCACGTATCGCGCCTACTCTCTCTTTCCACCATGTCATTACTCGGATCCTGCAACATCATCCAATCATGCCACAGGTTAATAATATCTTTACTGTGCTTCTCAAATTCCTTATAGTCCCATTTAGAGGTGCTATTTAGATAACACACCCATGCGGTCGTCTTACCATAATCCGTTCTGCAATGCTGGTCAATGTTGTACCAAAACTGATTTTCCGGTTTACTACTTACAAATTTGTTCTTGGTCAACAACGGGCACTCACTGCGTCTCTCACACATCCCTATCGGCATGACCAAGTGTTCGCACGTTACCCAGTTTAACTCATCATAGGCCGGCTTAGGTTTATTTTTATAAACCCCGACAATTAAAACGTGCGGATTTAGGCCCTTGGGCCAATAACTTTGCTGCACTGGGTCCAAATTATCTTCATTATTCCATGTTTGGTCCTTGATCTGATAATTCGCCCCCTCTGGGGCAGATCTACCGCTACGTCTTTTATCTGCTGGAACTTTATCAATTTCAATCTTTATCGACTGATCCTCAACAGTTTTACCCAACCATTTATTACTGTGCCCCGTAACAATTTCCTTGGTCAGACAATCCCAATGCTGCACCCCAGTTATCTGGAGAACAGGACTATTCCATATTTTGTACACATGCTTACTAAACGTCAAATTAGTGATATTCGTGAGATTGTACTGTAGGCCCCTTAGCTTTACGTGCGTCTGATTATGACCGTCAAGAATATTCCATCTCAACCTGGTACTATTCTTAATTACTTTACCCCCGTAGAGAGCTGGCCCCTTCGTAGCACTTATTTTCCGAGCCCCTGTACAGTTCCAAAATGATTTATCTATATTTTCTATCATTCCTTTAAACATGTCCCTCATCATTTTCGAGCCATATTTCACCCCACCAATATTCGCTGTTTGCTTATAGCATATTTTTAACACTAATTTCTCAACCACAGAGCAGGAGGATACGCTAACCACTTCTGTCTCGTTATCTCCTGATAATCCAAGACCCAATATTAACAATGCTATTCCCCGCATAGTCAGCGCTGACAACAGGCCGATTCTCAAACTGCTTTGCTTCCTCCGCAGCTTTAGATACTTCCTCTCCAGATGTATCCGCTGTTTCGCCATCCTGCTTCTGTAAAACACACAACAGACACAGAGACATATATCAACCTAAACTTTCCCTAGCCTTTGCCTAATCCAGATTGTCATTCTGCTCAGTGAGCTGGGCTTTGTTATGCTTGATCTGATAAGTTTGACCCCTTCTATTGACTTTCCTACTCCGAGAAAGTCGATGTAGTTGTCAAATGGACCTGGAACTGCTATAGTTCACTTCTGTTGTCCGGGCCAATTTAAACTTTCACTCACTCTGTCCCTACAAAAGTCTGTTGTAATCTAGCTCTTACAGTCAGAGAAGTTCCCCTGACATAAAGGCTATATTCTCTGGGCATATACGTAAATTGGATATTCTTCCTGAAAAGACATTTCCTCCAACAAGTTAGTCATCATATCATGCATTCTTGCTTCTTTATATACCCCCTTGATTTTATAACTAATCAAGTGCTCCTTCTCTTACAGTGGGTCCCTTACGACCTTCTTCCAGAGGTCTAGGTCACTGTCTCTGGCCAGTGTTTTATCTAACACCCCACCTTTCACTAACGGATCTGAATCCCTTAGAACCGGTCCCCCCGAACACAGCAATCTTTCCCACAAGAAGGCTTTCTCTGTGTTATTGGCTAAGGCCAGCGGATTCACGTCCCATTCCGTCATGATTATGTCCTTGGCTAAACATCCTAAGCTTGTTTCGCTCTTTCTAGTTTGCCAGACACCCTTGAAACTGGTTACCTGTAACCATCGTTTCTTAAGCAGCAGCTTGCATCTCTCACATCTCGCAAGCTCACCTAGGTCATTTAATGTACACTTACATTCTTGACCTCGTAGATTGTGCTTCAATCTACAGTCGGTACAGGTCTAACATCCACCAGTACCTATGGCCAGTTCATACTGCCATACACTTCATAGCTGCCTTTGCGTTCGACAGCTTCCGCATACAGTAACGTCTCCCATCGCACATGCCCCCATGGACCTATCTGTGCGGAACCATTTGGGCAAAATTGTCAGCTGAGCTCTCAGCCACGCCTGACTTTCCCGTATCTCTCTCGGCCCCTCCCAGAGCAGGCTGCAAACTTCCTGTTTGCTACAGAACACACAGTCAATAGGCTTTTCCCTAACTGACGGAGTTCCCTCCCGACAGTCTTTATGCTATGTTTTAACTAAGAATGAATCACTAAAATCTTTACACACTACAAATAGGCCTTCCGCTGGACCCTTTATGCCCTGTTGGAAGGATACTTTTGCTGTGATGATTTTATTCATAATCTTATTGACAATCATTTACTCCCCACCAGTTTTTTGATTGACCAAACCCTGTTCGCTTCCCGCCGAACAGTGGTATTGGAGGTTAACTCAACTACCTTATCTTCAGTTCCCGTTTTAGCCCTAAACCTCTTGTCTTTGCGTTTGAGTAAGATGTAAACTGTCTGTCCTACCTTAAACGTTTCTTTGCTTTATATTTATTGGTTCGGGCTTTTGGTTAGGTTTATCAACCCTGTAATTTGGTATAAAGCGTACAGATATTAACTATCGAATCCCATTCGCCTAAGCTTTGATTCTTTACAAAGAATTCTTTCACACTACGAACGGCATGCTCTGCTATGCCAGCCACGCTTAACTGCTTTGACTAAGGTTGATCCATTTTTGTTACAAAATGTTTGTTACCTCACTTCCAGTTAAATTATGCGCGTTGTCCCCACGGACTCTCGCGGGCTTCCCCCGATATTTAATCCCCTCTTTAAGGCTATTATCAACTACCGCGCTGTTCGCCTGTGGACACGGATAAATGGATATGTTTGTTTGAAATTTGGTACAATTGACCATTAACACTAAGAAGTGGACATTCCTCTTTTTAGTTTTAGGTAACAATGGTCCGGCAAAATCTGCACCCATTTCTTCATGTTCCCTTACATTTTTCATATGTCCAAAATCCTGATGTACACTAGACATCACCTTCCTGCCATCAGGACACTTTAGTTTAATTTTCTGATAAATTTCCATGCATTTCCATGTGGTCTTTACATTTTATAAATGCAGCCCCAGCTGCCCACAATATTTTGCAACATACGTCGTGGACGGATGATTAAGCTTATCGTGTAGCTCTTGGAGCAGGTTCCCCTCACTCTCTTTAATAATTGCCCTCACGCGCACATACTGATCCACTTCCCTGTTTCCTACAGCTGCTGGAGTTTTCTGGACCGTATGACTGGACTGGTGCAACACTCTCGGTTGTACCACCTTGGCACATTCACTAATGATTTTCCACAATTCCACCTGTGCCAGTGGTTTGCCTTTAGCATTATAAAAATTATTCTGTTCCCATGTGGATAGGTTTTGAACAATGCCCAAATACACGTATTCACTATCGGTGACTAATACGCATTTTTTACGGTTGTTGTCCCTCATGTGCATTATTGCCTTCGCAACCGCTGTAACCTCAGCTTCTTGCGCACTTTTGTCATTATTTAATCTGCCCTTTTCTTTGTGAATAATTTTCCCTTTCAACTTGACCATAAATCCCCACCAGGTTTCTCCCTTCTCCGAACTACCGTCCGTGAAGTAGCAAATCTGTTCCGGATCTATTATGGTCTTTCTGTCCTTTTTCGGACTTTTCTCATTTCTAAACTCAAATTGGTTATCATTAATTATTTTTATCCACTTCGACCAGGTAAAAACATGCACGCGCTTATTCTCATTGATCAAGTTTTTTTGCTTCCCTTGCTAAGAGGTCGATCCCTTCCCCTTTAGCAACTATAATAATTAGTTTTTTCGGCCGCCAACGCCTTAATGGCGAGCAGATTCTTAGCAATTGTGACTAGAATATCAGCAGGTGACATATTCACATGCTTCTTATGGTTAGCTGGTTTCTCGTGCGAAATGAACATAACCGGAGATTTTGAATCCCCTTCGTTATATAATATCAATTCCATTTTCTCGGGTCTATTGTCAATCTTAACCCTGAGGTTTTTATCAGGGTTTCTCCTGACAATCCGCCCCGAAGCCCAGGCCATGTCAATTATGCCACATTTGATATTTTCCAGTCTCTCATCCTAATTAAAGCCATTTCCTGCCATAGATTTATACAGTATTTTTGCTTTAGCACTGTATCCTGGAATTAAATCTCTCACAAAATTGTAATCTGTTAATTTAAGTCTTTTTAATCCTTTAACCTCATCAATTTTAATTGTAATCTTCAGGCCCTGCCACTGTCTCAAGCTTGTGATTCGTTCCTTTTTTAACTCTTCTAGTTACCCTTATTTCTATGTAGACGGCTCTATTAAGCGGGCACTGTCTCTGTGGCGCAGGGATTCCGCCTAATATTGTGTACTCATATTTCTTGTGTAACTTTCCACAATCATTATTGCTCTTTGCGCAGTTATTCTTATATTTTTCTAATAACTCTCTCAATTCGTCTTTAGGTAGAGTCTGTTTTACGACTCTATTTATCTCATACTCCGAGTCGACCTTTTTCATCCATCTGATTCGTTTATCATTATCAAGATTTTTATCGTGCATTTCCTTAACGTAAATGCCATCTATAATACTCATTAAAATTGAACTGTCCACTATACAGTGTAATCCTTCCCAGCGGTACCTACCTCTGGATCATGGTTTCATTTCATTGCTTAAACCATACACTCTGTGCTGCCCATCTACATTCACAGCCCCAGGAGGCCATTCGGTTATTGAGGTGACCCCGACGGTGATGGTCGTTTTTCCTGGAGCTTTATCGTCCTATATTTCTGTATTTCTAGCTGACTTGTTGGATCTGACTGCTCGAGCTCGCTCTGGTTTCAGTTCCTCTTTTTTGTTCCGTTTTCTTATCTGTGCTTTCATCTGACATGCTGTTTGGGTTTCTGATACACAGGATTAGTTGAGGGTTCTTTTCCGCTTGTCTTTATTCATACAGCATTATTTATTCTATATTTCTCGCTGGTTTAAAGCTAGCTTTTGGTTTTATCCTGTCCCCCTCTTGCAGTCTACTCCTGCCTGGGTATGATCTCTTCCCTTATTCGATTAGTATTTCTGCCATACCTTACTGCGAATTTGGACATTTCAGGCCAATCAGTTTCTGACCCTCCACGAGCTATTTCTTTACACCCCGGCAATTCTGCGGCCAGCTTTTTCAATGGTGCTAACACTTTGGTTTCAGTCCACCCTTTGTCAGCTTTTTCAGAGCGATAAGCCCACAGTCCTGTGGTTCTTAACATCTCTAACTCCTCTCTTAATTCTGCTTTGTTATCTTTCCCTATCACATGAACGTAATGTGATTCTATAGTTTGTAATTTCAACACTATCCCTGTATGATGTCGAATCCTTTTGCTCTACTAGGCCAGTAGGTGCATTTAGCATTTTTCCTAAATCTGCTACCATTTTCGCCTTTTTCATGTTATCTTTTACCCCTTGAAATCACATGTTTTGCAATAACTGGATTGCAGAAACTCTGTCGCCTTTGGCTTGTCTCGGTGGTCCCCGCCTAGGCTTCAGACTAACGTCTTCCTCATTTCTATCTGACTTCCTCTTTTCCCTTCTTTGTCTTGCCAGAGCCGCGGTGAGAGATAAATCTACTTCTTGTTTCAAGGGCAATAACTTTTCTTCACCCCCGCAATCCCCCTCCGTGTCAGAGGTCAAATAGTCATACTCGGACTGCGAGTCTGAAGATTCCTCTTCATATTTTACAACTTGCCTATGTGTTTCCCTACCACGGGATTTTTCGAAGCTTTCCCTGGCAACTATTTTAGTGGAGCAATCTCTCTGTTGTGCTTTTTCCTTGCTTCTCTGAGCTTTACTTCTATTAGGTGCTGGCTCCCTACATTGCCTTTCTCATTTTTTTTATGTCATTAATTGTCGGTTCGTGTTCTTCTTTTTCATTTTCATCTAATAACACGTAACATAATGCCTCTTGCATACAATTTAATTGTTCTGCCAGCATGTCTATTTTCGCCTTGGAACTAGTTCCTGGCATGTCCAAGATTTCATCTGGGGTTGGTCCTACGGCCAGTTTGACTATTTTTTGCTGCACCTCTGTAAGCGATGCCCACTGTGGGTCCTGCGGATCGAACACTAAGCCCGGGCAGGTTAGAAATGTTCTACCCCCGAGGTTTTCATGGTCCCTTTGTACCGAGCCACTTCGCCCCTCACACGATTGGCTCTTTGATCGCTTGTAATTAACTTTCTTTCGTTTAGGTAACATTTCATCCTCGCTATAGCCCGTACTCGAACTATCACTTGAATCTTCCTGACCCAGTTTTCCATATTTATCTTTTTTCTCGGTGGAAGTCTGACTCGGCCTAAACGCAGATTTTTTCCTTTCCCATGTTTCTTCTTCCCATTTTGAGGGAGAGAAACCGGTGATAAAGTTCGTATGTTTTACAATTGCCCCTGACTCTGTCGCTGCTTGTGCATCTGCCCTATCTAGGCGGTTGTAAATGCACTCGGCTGTTTCCTCCCTGTCAGTATGTACTGAGAGGGACGGAGATCCAGCGGAGCCTCTAGCTCTTTGATCTGGGATCCCGCCTCTAGTTACCTGTATCTCTTTACCTGGAACTATCGGTATGGAGACATCATGGTCCCCTACTTCTACAGTGATCTTGTCACTTCGAGTTTGTTCGCCGACGGTTTGGACTAACCTTCTTAATCCGTCAACGGTAGGCGTATACAAAGCACACTCGGTACACTGTAAATGATTTCTGTTGTTTTCACAGGATTATACTGTTTTTCTCAACAGTTTCTTACTGTATAATCTATGTACAGTAAGTTACAGTAGATTTAGTTGTTTTCACAGTATTAAATTGTTTTTTCAACAGTTATGTACTGTGCACACAGTTGACAGTATGTTACTGTAGAATTGCAATGCATTCTGGGAAATTATCAGTTACTGTTAATCTAAATACAGCAGTGCAATTGACCGCGAAAAACACCACACACGGTTCCACGGGTAAAATTGCTAGCCTACTAATGTTATTCTTACATTTAAAATAAAAATGTAGCACTGGTTGACCATTAACAGTCATAATTTATGACATAATTTATGTCAGTGGGGTGTGCATGAGAGCATATTTGACTTTGGAAGAGTTTCTCTGTCGTGTCAGTGGTGCTGCTGTCTTTTCTGCCGACCTGCAACTTCTTCATCTGGTAAGTAATAATTCTTATAATGTGTATGCAAACGGATTCTAGCTAATAATAACTTTAAAGTTATTTAGAATAGCTGACCACGATTTCTATATTCAATTTAATATATTCGACATTTTAATATAATATGTATATGATAGGCGCTACTCTTCAATGTAGCCATTTGGGATGTTACTGTAAATTCAAATACATTAGTACGAAATGACCGCGAAAAATAACCACAACAAGCTGCCATTTTATGAAGAACTCTTCAGTTCCCTTCCCTCTGTAAGAACACGCAGGCCGTGCATCGCGTCGCTGTCGGTCGGCAACGTTTTCGCCATACATAGTAATTCATATTTTTATGCAAACATATGAGTTAACAGATTACCGTTAGAAAGAAGTGGCCGCGGAATGTTCGATAACGTCTGTATAAGTCAGACGCGGATTTCTTTTATGTTGATAGCCTTACTTGATTAAATGTGATTTTATTAACATATATTTCATATGTACCTCTTATACGGTCAAAATGGTCTAATCATTTTGTTATTTACCACGTTAAGTCGGTGGAAAGCGCCTGCACGTTCATTATTTTATGACTTACAGGGGTTAGGAATTGATAATCGATAAATGTATCCTGAAATCGGACATCCAAGGTTAGGATTCGGATTTATTGTTATAAAATTAAAAGTGCCGATTCCTCTTATTGATTTTTTCACGCTTATTTTCGTGTAAATCCTGACCTGGCGTTCTGGCATTATAACGTTACCTCAGTGATAAAGTTGGACCGCGAAAGCGCCCAAGGTGTATGTGTGACATTTACAGTATTTGTTGTGGTCTTTGTTAATCTTTGGTTATCATTAACGACACATACACGAGGGAGTTAGCCTGGTGTTGAACACTTTACTAGCGAACTTAGAATCAACAACAACAAAAAAACCCCGGGTCATACCAACTACACAAACTGCTGGGGGTGTTCCGGTAGGAACCATTCACTGCATATACTACAGTATTGTCGGCTATAATATCATTTTTTTTTTTTTACTATGTGTAAACTGACATGTACTCATTTGAAGGGAACGATGCCTTGTCAATCTTTTTTTAAGTCATGTAACTTAGTATCACACAAGCAAGATTTGCCTACGTTTTCAACGTGATCGTAAATGAATTGATTTTAAACAACAGTCCAAACAAGATTTTAGTATTAAGTGAATTACACTTTAGACATCATTTTGTCTGTTTTGCTGTTTAGCCAAAACAACAACAAAAACGTACTATATTTTTAACTGTCTTGTCTGTTCTCCTTTTCACAGGTGTGAGCTGTGCATGTTAAGAAGACCCCTATCCATCTTGACGACCGATGAATTGTAAATCTAATCTAATTTAATTATTCTATTTATCTAACTTGGTCCAGTACCTTGACCCATCTGAGAACATTTTAAACGGATTTTTATCCATCTGTGAATTTTGTCTATCTGGCAAGTTGTTTAGAATTGTTGTGTGAAAATAAACGTTACAGTAAGTTTAAGGTTTAATTGCATAAAAGCTTGGATAGAAAACTTCCTATTGCAAAAGTTAGAACATAAGTCTGCATATAAATAATTATTGATATCCGTAATGCAAAGTTTTTCATGGCACATGTGCATGATGAGGTTGTTTTGTGTTTATTTAATTTTTTTTAAAGGACACTGGATAACTTGTCATTTTGTTATACTCATCTGGATTGGTGTTTACTCGTCAAAGCTTTTATAGTTTTATAAGTTTATATGTGTCCCCCACCTGCAAATCTGGTCCCTTAGATAGAAAGCAGCCAAAAAAACCCTTTAAATCAGCAACGACCAGTTAGACAGTATCTCAAACCAATAGACAATCTTAGACTAGTTTAAGCTGTTTTACCCCAGCAGGGAGTGGGTGGATGAGTTGTTATGAACTATCTTTCTAATAGATTGATCAGATAGCACCCCTTTAATCTTTTCTATTTTACCTGTTCATGATAATTTTGCATGTATTTATGCATAATTGTTCATGATTGTCATGCATGATTTTTATTGTATTATATTACATTTTTATTTTAATGTATTTAATTGTATTAATGTATTTAAATGTATATTATGTAAATGTACTAATGTGTTTGAAAATACACAATAAACCTTGTGCAGTTAAAGCTTCAATTGTTCTTTTTTCTATTTCCATTAACAGTTAAAAATAATATTTCTACGGATTTTCTACAGGTTACACAGTAGCACTATAAATAAATACAATAACATTTCATACTATACAGTATTATTAAAATTAACAGTGTAATTCTGTACTTTAATATGGTAAGAAATTACAGTAAAATAATGTTATTTAATTTGCAGTATGCTTAACAGTACTGTAGTTAGTGTTACGGTAATTTTACTGTTAAATGAAATACAGCAAGTACTGGATAATTGTTGCCAGTAAGTTACTGTTAATTTGACAAGAAATTTTTTACAGTGTAGCTATGAGTTCCTCAGTTTCTTTTAGCCCTGCGTCTTTCAAGCGCTTGCTAAATTTATCTGGTGGGAGTAAAGCAGTATGAGTTATCTTGTCCATGACTGTGTGTCTGCCTTTCGAGAGTTCTGGTAATTATCCTTCTTCGAGGTTATATATATTGGGTACTCGTGTGGTCCCACTGCGCAGTCCTCTGGATCAATTACCCCGTTTTAGTGCTTAACCATATAATTTATCTCTCAGGCGTCCCTGAAGATTTTTTTTACAGTTAATACGAGGAAGCACCCTCTCAGTAACTTCCTCTTTGCACTAAGGAGACACAGTTACTCTCTGTAACCCTCTCCTTCAACTCTGGAGACACTGTTTAGCGGATTTTGATGGTGTTTTAATAATTATTGTTCACTCGGATTCAAATTATTAAATTAATAATAATATATCCCGGACGAGCCCCCATGTGGTGAGATCTGGTACTACCTCAGCCCTGAAGAGCGCCTGGTATCGAAGTGGCCAGGTGCCTTTTGCTGTCAGGTCAGAATTTCTGGATAAACGTTCCTTATAGCTCATTTAACCCATACCAGTAAATCTAGGTGTATCCCTACACTCATGTGAACCAATACATTATTACTAGCAACAACCATCAATTCAATTCATACTCACCCTCCGTGGAGATGCTTCCGTGGAGTCCTGGTGACCTCTTGCCCTCGCAAGGGTAGCTTTAATGCTCTTACTATTGCTTATAGAACTGGTATTGTGACCCGAGGCAAAGAACTATTCAACTTTTATCTTTATAAAATGAAAATTTATTTATACAAACGATAATAACACTGGTTACACAATGATTGTTAATAGTAGCAACAAAAGAAAAGGTTACAGATTATAATACCTCAGTTTCTCCCTACTTAACAGGGCAGTCCTGTATAAGTGGTTCAGTCACAAAGCTTTTCTTAACATACACAGTTCAAGTATCAAATGAATAACTAACCTTGTCCTTCTATGAGCAGGTTAAGTTAACATCATACAGCTAAGCAGTTAAAGCAATATATGTTCCAGCAAGCTGGACTGAAGAATGATTACCTTCAGGGATGCACGCAAAAAATCTTCTAGCAAGATGCAACAACTAACACTGAGAAAGCAGCCTTATTTATACTGGCTGTGTGACACAATCTCTCAACCATCTGGTTTTTCCATACACTTGCAACACAATAGTAACGGATACACTTGCAACACAATAGTCATGCGACTCTTAGTTCCTCCTTTAAGATTCGCTGAGCAGGCATTGCGTGTGCATTCTTTCTCCCCTTCCGAGTCTTGGGTTCTCTGGTCCTTCTTGAATGTGTACATGCATATAAATTCATATGTGTTTTTGTAAGTTCATTAAAATCTAAACTCTGCGGTACAGTATACACAAAGACTGTGTCAAAAGGTAACTTCGCAGTCCACTGCCAAGATGGATCCATAGAGATACACAAACTGCTTCGGTGTTGCATAGACATCGTCATCATCTTGCATCTTTGCCTCCCTGTTCTGTGATTGGTTCCCTAGCTCAGGCGAAAATTTGGTTCATGGTGTCCAGTCTGCCTAGCAGCGTGAATAAAATCGTGCTGTGGCAAGACAGCATGGGGAAACCCAGGCTAGGCGCTTGCACAATCCAATCACGTTTGAGAGGGAAACAACAAATTGAGGGTTTCCGAGATTTTTCTTATTTTCATTTTTTTAGAAGGAGTAATGGGTGCTCACGGTTATGGATAGAAATGTAGTGGAGTAAAGAGTACAATATTTCCCTCTCAATTGTACCCAAAAATGATCCTCAAGTAAAGTACAGATCCCTCAAAATTGTACTTAAGTACTGTACTCAAGTAAATGTACTCTGATACTGTCCGACTCTGCTAACTACATACATTTTTGTTTTACAAGATAACTTGTAAAACAAAAAGGTTACTTTTCATGTATACTTTCACTGTCATTGTTCTGTGAGGTTTAATTGTGAGTTTTATAGGAGTAAAGGAAAAAAAAAAAGCCCATTAGAGTGTATTTTGGGCATATTCGATTAGTAAATTGCTCATTTGCATATTCAAATTCATTTTCAAAGAAACTTCTAATACAAAATGTTTTACTTTTCTTGTAGACTTTCATTGTGTAAAGTTTTATTGTGGTAGAAGTAAAGGAAAAAAAAATAGCCCCATTGGGGTGTATTGTTGTCTGGCCTTACTGGCACACATCTCGGATTGATGCGAATTAAACATATTTCCTTAACTAGGATTTCTTAGGACTTTTAGTATGTTGTTCTGGACACCTCATTGAAATGATCTATGCTGAAAAAAAATCTTTTACAATTAGTTCTATTTTTGGCTCCAAAATGGGCTACTTTGCCTGGACTATAATAAGAAAAAGAAAGAAAGGAATAAAAAACAACATCCCTTCATTTGAAATTCATCCATCCGGCGCAGGGGTCCTTTCAGGAACTGCATTCATGGATTGATACGGACCCTTGGGTGCTGATGAGGAAGTTAGAGGATCATAGGGGTGGGCAGAGTGACCAAAATCAGTTTCTAATATTTGAATATTTTTTATTGATCTATTCATAATAAATGAGTTACGTTTAATTTTGTAGGATATTAGCAATACAGATTGGCTGACCCGTGCTGTAGGCTACATGCTGTCAATGGATGGACGGTCTGACAGGATTAACGCTATACCTCCGGCTGAGTGGCCTGACTTCTACACCTATTCGATAGAGGAACCGAATGTACTGTAAAGAGAAACTGAGGGCATATAAATCTTTAGATGCCTATAACTATGTGATGAATGGTCACATACAAGACTTATGTGTACGATACGCAGTTTTGCCTAGCCAGCGCCGAGAAGATGACAATGTAAAGCGTGACGTTACAGTGCAATTATAATGATGTGAATATTTTCTAGAAATAAAAATTCCAGATACAGCATATTCATTTTTCATTGATTCTTGCACCCAACAACAAAACAGGATGACATTTAATAATATTAATAATAATAATTTAGGCTCCTTATTATGCAGCCAAATCTGTGCTGGTTTGTAACTTATTATCCGCCTCCAGCTGTCCGTTTATTATGGTGTACATTTTCTACAGCGGTAATATATACCGCCCAGCCCTAATATTTACCTCACGGTTTCCCCAAGCATGATGATGTAATAAGCCTATGCAAATCAATTGGAAAAAAAAGGCAGTTGTAAAGAAAGACCCATTTGAATTCTTAAAAAGACAATAGTATGAATTTGAGTTGTGTGCTTCATGGACACACAATTAACAGCTTCAAGGTTTCCTACCTATAAATATAACTTCTGCTTCTAGGAGAGTTACAGATCAGGTCTCGCCAGTTTGGACCAAGTGTTCCGTAGTGATCAGTGATCAGAAGGAGGGATGTGTTTTTCGTTTGTTTTAAGAAAATAGTCACATATAAATAACGAACATGTTGACAGTGAACATTCTGAACATTGCTACGTAAAAACGCAAATGTGTAGAACTTTAAGAGGAAAAAGGACAAAATACACACACACAAACACACACACACACAAATATGGTTTATGAGGACTCTTCATGGGCACAATAGTTCTTATACTGTACACATTGTAAATTGTGTCTCTTATTCCTAAACCAACCATCATGGAAAACTTTTGCCATTTTTTTAAAGGTGCAGTGTGTGATTTTTAGCGGCATCTCGCGGTTCGGTTGCGAGTTGCACTAAGGGCTCAGCCCACTGCTCAGCTCTCCCTTTCAAAGAAGCTACTAGCTTGTGGCTAAAATGGGACGAACTAAAGACCCTTTCACACAGCGCGTTGATCCCAGGGAAATTGACGGGAAATTGCCAGAACACCTTCTGTGTGAACGCAAACATGACCCGGGATTGATACCGGCATCGATGCCGGGTTGGGGACCAAGTAACATTGTCGGAATCAGTCCCGGAACACGCACTGTGTGAACAAAAGCCAGGACTAATGCCGTAAGGGGTGTGTCATAGTGATGACGCTCGTGCCATCGTGCGACTCTGTTGCTCTTAGAAGAAAGTTTGTGTTCGACATCAACAAAGACAGGACGAACAAATGTCTGCTAACTGGAACGAAGCAGAGACCAGGAGCTCATCACTATCCGCGCTGAAGCTGAAATTGTTCACCAGCTTTGTGGAATGGTATGCACGTGTTCATGTTTTTGATGCGTACGTTACACGTCTCATCCTGACATCATGTGTCATTCCTGGATCTTTAAGGGTTGTCTGTGAACGCACTCACAGATCCCGGTAAATCACTGGCACTGTGAATGAACCTAAATCATACAATCCCAGGACAAATCCGGGTCACATTATCCATGTATTTTCCGGAATCTCCGTGTGAAAGGGGCTATACCGTCGTCTGAGACAGAAAAGAATAGCCAGAGTGTGTAACCTTGTCACTGTTTCTGTACCACTGACCATTATAAACCACATCATGGATAAGTTTACAAAGCCATAGTCAGGTGAGGATCAAGGGTCTTATACACTCACCTAAAGGATTATTAGGAACCAACGCATTCTCACCCCAAGGCGTCACCTTTGACCATGCTTCAATATTTGATGCTTTAGGCGCCCTTTAGCGCCAGTTACATTACGCGATCCATCTAACTGACACTAAAATAAAAGCGTCAGTTAGATGACGTGGGTAGCGTCAGTTAGGTGATGCCTTGGGGGTGAGAATGGGCTGAAGGAACACCTGTTCAATTTCTAATTATTGCAATTATCTAATCAACCAATCATGTGGCAGTTGATTCAATGCATTTAGGGGTGTGGTCCTGGTCAAGACAATCTCCTGAACTACAAACTGAATGTCAGAATGGGAAAGAAAGGTGATTTAAGCAATTTTGAGCGTTGCGTGGTTGTTGGTGCCAGAAGGGCTGGTCTGAGTATTTCACAATCTGCTCAGTTACTGGGACTTTCACGCACAACCATTTCTAGGGTTTACAAAGAATGGTTTGAGAAGGAAAAACATCCAGTATGCGGCAGTCCTGTGGACAAAAATGCCTTGTTGATGCTAGAGGTCAGAGGAGAATGGGCTGACTGATTCAAGCTGATAGAAGAGCAACTTTGACTGAAATAACCACAGTTATCGATGTCATATTATTTCTGTTAATAGACACTCAAAATTATTACACATTGCACCTTTAAAAAACATTTAGTATGTGCCCTTGTGAACCATGATTAGCCTATGTTGTAAATAATATCATTATACATATTGGCGTCCTCAAAACCATACAAGAACACAGACAGACACACACAGACACACACACACACACACACACACACAAACAAACAAACAAACACACAGGACAAAATCGAAAACACCAATTGCAATCTCTATTCTATTCTATTCTATTCTATTCTATTCTATTCTATTCTATTCTATTTATATTCTATCTTCTCAAAATTTAGGACTCTGATAGAGGGCCATGAGACTTAAACCTGAGTGCAAAAATGGAGGCTCTAGACCCTTCCAGAGCTGAGATATCGAAACTCAAAAATTCGACCCGAAAAAAAAACGACAGTGGTACCCCTTTCGTTTTTTTTGTTTTCGGGCGAAAAATTAAGTTTCTCCAATCTTCTCAAAACTCTGGATTATGAAAGAGGACCATGAGACTTAAACCTGAGTGCAAAAATGGAGGCTCTAGACCCTTCCAGAGCTGAGATATCGAAACTCAAAAATTCGACCCGAAAAAAAAAAACCGACTGTGGTACCCCTTTTGTTTTTTTTTTTTTTCGGGCGAAAAATTAAGTTTCTCCAATCTTCTCAAAGCTCTGGATTCTGATAGAGGGCCATGAGACTTAAACCTGAGTGCAAAAATGGAGGCTCTAGACCCTTCCAGAGCTGAGATATCGAAACTCAAAAATTCGACCCGAAAAAAAAAAACGACAGTGGTACCCCTTTCGTTTTTTTTTTCGGGCGAAAAATTAAGTTTCTCCAATCTTCCCAAAACTCTGGATTCTGATAGAGGGCAAGAGACTTAGACCTGAGTGCAAAAATGGAGGCTCTAGCCCCTTCCAGAGCTGAGATATCGAAACTCAAAAATTCGGCCCGAAAAAAAACGACAGTGGTACCCCTTACGTTTTTTTTTTTGGCGAAAAATTTAAGTTTCTCCAATCTTCCCAAAACTCTGGAT